TTAATATATGTAATATAAATAAGGTAAATCGCGAGCGTAGCGAGCGATTTTGTAATGTACAGTTAATTGAACCTTCTACACAGTGGCCTCTCATAAGTGAGGCAGACCCACAGTACTAAAATCCTGGGTTCGCCACTGATCTATATGATTTCGTATGTTAGACTCCCTAACTCGGTAAACTCCAAATAAATAAAGGTATATTATTGTAGTAAATACATATATCACACCTACTTGTACTCTTTTTAGTCCATTTGTATGAGCCATTTTCAAAACTGGCTTGCACAATAATATAGATACAAATAATGTGAAATTCTTTTTTATATTTTTAAATAATTTCTAAATAACACCATACTTACCACGTTTCGTTAAAAATATTGTAAGGAATAATTACACCTATAACTATTTTTATTTTTTGTTTTTTATTTTGAACTACGCAAATGTACGCGTATATAAGTTATAAGCGTATTACAATTTATTAAGTTTGTATCGTTATATTTATATTAAAACAATAGTAAAAATAATAGGTTATATTTAAGATCTTAATGAGTCGTATTTGAATATCTTCACTGCGCCAAATAGATTATCTATTTTTAACTAAATCTGAGATAACTACAACAAATGATTAATAACATAATATAAACATATTAATGCGTGAATTATTTATGTATTTTCGAGTAGAAATTTTCATCCAAAAGATAATTTTTATATTTCAATAGCGTTTTGATCTTAAAATTATAACTTCTAAAATAAGTAATCATATAATTAATTATATTATCGGTCTTACATGTTACATATCTACAATTTTAAATTAAACATTATGTCCGTGATATTTCATCTAATTTGTTTTTCACATTTTCGCACACAATGGTATGTTACTTAAACTTGCTAGGTACAAAAATGCCATTAACAATTCAAAAGCTGTCACGCAAACCCGACGAATATTCACCGAATGTTAACACTATATTATATAGTTGACGCTCCTATGCATAAACGTCAACTACAGTGGTTCATTTCGTATACAGACCATTCACTACGACTTGAGCACGCAACAAACATATATATATAGATAGATATGCATAATATGCGGGTACATAATAATATATTATATGCATGTACCATTTTGATTGGCCGTTTAACCAAGTTGAATAATATCACCATGTATATTAAGCAGTGACGATTCAGACAGTGTTTTATATGCACAAGATACCAAATGCATTCAAATTTGTTTGTATGTATATACACGCGTAAACGTGTTACACGATATACCTTAGTACCTTACTATTACTATATTATGCAATAACTTAATTTGTTGGCATGTAGATATGTCGATTGACGTTTATTTTTGGTTACTCAAGTGTCACTGTAAAATTGTTTTATAACACGCATACTATTCAAATGACTATATCATATAGTATACGTAGATAAAATTTACATCATGATGACTTGTCTAAGCTCTGACCTCTTAAAAAACGATGAGTTTAATATTCGGCATACCTTCCTATATTCTGTAAGTGATCGATACGATTTTAGAAAAGCATTGTGCTTCATGAAACTACAAACACATAAACTGGGATTTAAGATCAAAAGCCGCTCGATAAATCAATACCGATAAACACATTTAACTGTATAAGAACGATAAGCATAAGTGTAAAATTAAAGTATAAAACATATTATTAGAACTGTAGGTAGGTACCTAACTTTCTTTTTTTTAAATGATAATACTTTTCGAAAATATAATGAGTGGTTTGTGCTTATTGTTAAAATAACTTATTTATAGTTTTTAATTTATAAATATGTACTGTAAATCACTGACATAAACAGAAACTACAAGAAATCGAATTTTTGTTGATAATATAAACAATAGTTTTGAAAGCTCATTAAGTTTTTCACTTACAAGAAACAATAGAACAAGTAAATGAATAAATAACTATAGATAATCTTTTATTGTTATACAACTTATACATATCATCCTACCTATCCTAAATTGCTTATATACTAATTTATATTCTTACTTATTATTTTAATCATGTCTATACACAGATGTCTATATTATACTAGATATAAAGTACTTGCGGTGTTGCACATAAGAAATAGTGAAGCCAGATTTCAGGCGCTTTTCACATGTGCCGCCATATTCATGATTGGCAAAATATTTTGAATAAACATTATGGTTATATGATTTTATACGTGTGTGGAGTTAATTTACTATTTTATTATTATTTTAATTTTATTCAGCTAGTTTCCGATAAAACTTTAAAAAAATATTGTTTTATACATACATCGATATGTTTAACTATTATAATATATATAATGAATTATTACATTTTAAGTTTTAACCAATAAGTTTTTCTCTTAGCACTGAACTGGATTTTACAAAAACTTCAACCACTTCGTTATTATCTATGTGCACATCTGACTCACATGATATAATTAATAATGACTCAAAACGATCTTGTTCATATAGCTCTCCTTAAACGATTTTTGATGATTTTTAATTTTGAAAAAGTTCTTTCGGTGGTTACACTATATAGACTGGTAATGTAAAAATAATATGAAGGAAGGGCCATAAATAATTTAGGGAATACACTATGAAGTCTAGTTGAATAGCATATTTTAAGTATTTTTTAAAAGTTTCCTTTGTTTTGAACATCTCTCTGTGTTTGATCATTACTTAATTCTTCATCTGATGTTAATATCTCGACATTGCTTTCAATTATGTCAGAAGTGTTATTATTGGAAGTAAACGGATAAATATTTTTTTGGAAATTTAGTTATTTTTTCAAGGTCGGAATACAAATTTGCAAACTGAGTATACTCAACATACAACTCATTCTGCTCTATAAACTGACTAACCTAACCTGCACTAGTCGCGATAAATTTTCGGGGATAAATTTGGGTCGCGGTTCTAAAAAGATTAAGAATCACAGATATAGTGATACGTCGTATATCAATATCATATCCTAGCTTTATAAAACGTTAAGTATAGTTCCGGCCTTTTCCTACCTCTTTCCGATTCATTCCGTAGCGGTCACCGTCGCGTTCAAAAAATACGACGGCCATTTTGACGTTTTTCTTCGGTTTTTCACTCTCCGTACATCCGTTTCATATTTTTCGCGTCCGTACTATCCGTAATCGCTTATAGCGAGTCTTTTGCGAGCTCTGCGTGTGTGGTTCATATTCCTTTTCATTCGGCCCGTTCAGAAAACACAGCTGCCAATCCACATACGCGTAGTGTGTTCTAAAGTTTACTCGCCGTTTGATGTACTTGGACTTATGTGGTATGTATTTCGTTATTTTCTATCAGTCATGTTCATATCGTTTGTTATATTATAATATATCTAACATTTCGAACGTGTTGTAGGTGTTCGGAAACTGATGACGTCCGGTTCGACGCGCAGTATTTCTTTCGTGCTTAACCGCATATTAGTGTTTGTCCATGACATTTCTATCGCACAATATTATCTGCGTGTGCTCAAGAATGTATCGTACAAAAATAAATTTATATGTATAAAAAATATATGCAGATGATATTTTACATTTAATATTTATTACCAACTTTTATTTGTAAATTACCCAGCCAGCTATCGATATAAACACCAGGTGATTACTGATAGCAAAACACTTAATTGCCATTTTCAGAATGTATATATTTATTTTACATACAACTTACAAGAAAGCATCTTGTAAGTGACACGAATATCCATTCGCCCATATAATAATTATTTTTCCCCGAACGATTTTTTATCTTTGTTGTAATTCAAAAACAAATAATTGTAGATAGGTACTTGAAATGTTCACAAAATGTTTATATTATCATTTTAAATTCATGATTTCTAGTTTTCAAAATATTTTGACTTTTTTCGAACTATTTATTAACATGTGATAAATAAATACCTATAAAAAAATATTCACTGGGTCATAAAAATTCATTAAAATTTAATTCAATATCCCAAATAAGTTTTTCTTAGATAATTAAAAAAGAATATTAAAAACATAGATATGGACGCAATTAAAAATTGCAAAAACTTTTTAACTATTTTGTTGTTAAATTATTAGAAGTTCATTAAAAATTTTTTTTATATTACCGAGTATTAAAAATTTAATATTGGAACCAACAAATTTAAAAAATTGAATGAGTGAAATATTTTTACAGACGTTTTAAGTTCAAATTTGTATATAATTTTTTATTTAAAAAATAAACATTGATTTTTTAATTAAGTAAGTTGATATATTAATAAAATATAATAACATATTATTAGAATAATAAAATACATATAATATAATAAGAGCAATATTTTCAGTAAAAATTATATCAACTTACAGTAATACTAAAAGTAAAATAAATAACTTTAATAGCAATGTATAGTAAAAATTGTATCATGAAATATACTTAGTGATAATATAAGCTAATATTTTGTCAGACTGTGTCCACTTAAAACTATTGATTGCATATAACGATTATCATATATCATTGACTTCAAATTTAACATATTCATAAAGCCATAACAATGATTCAATAAACACCTAATGTACAGCAGGACGGTATTCACTTGCCTACTATTTTTTTTGTTATCAAACTTGTTTATACATTTAGACATGACAATGAAATTGATTGCTAGGAACATTTTACAAAGTTAAAAATTGTTAGTGTTATAATAATTAATAAAGTATGAACATACATTTTAGTAATAAAATTATGATAATATGAATTTTAATGAGTGACACGAAAGAATATTTACTAAGTACTATATGTCTACCTTTAAGGCCATTTTTTTGTTCATTTGAGTACTATTTGTTAATTCAGATTAGTGTATTTTAGTTTAACCGATATCTAAACACCCGTTAACCAAAATCAAAATGCATCAAAACTATTTAATAATAATATAAAAATATATGTATATATTAATTAGGTATTTTAAATTAATATACAAGATTAATAAAATATATTATAATATACAATATGAATGTGTATATGATACAATTTTGATCCAAACATAAATTTAATTTCCTTCAATGGGGTTTTTATTTTTTCTTAATAAATGGTAACTTGGCAATAATTTAATTAGAAATTCGCGATGACCTCCAGGAACCTAAAAATATATAACAAATTATTATTTATCAAAAGTAAAATATTAAATTGAAAACAAATTAAATTTGTTTTTACTTACTGATGGTTTACAAAAAGCTTTTTGTCTAGTGCAATTTTTACCATATATACAAGTACCATCTTCAATAGGCGCGGTAGATGTCAAGTGACAACCTGCTCCAATAATACAATCATTGCCTATTGTTAAATTTCGACCGACATAACCTTAACATTTATAAAATCATAAATTCTTAAATGAAACAAAATAAGATTTAATATACATTCTATTTACATTAAGAAGGAATCTAAGAGGTCAACTTGAGCATAAGAATATAGTTTTACTACACAAAGAGATATTGATGATTGATTCGGTGAGGATGACAGATGGGTGTTATCTCATCACCTCTGACAAAAATTGGCTACCACACCACCAGAGAAATGCCTTATTAATGTAAATAGACTATGTTAAGTTATTTTCATACTTTTTGATTCAAATATATTATTGTCTCCAATACACTTGACACCATCAATGGTTGAATATACTTCAAATACATTATTAGAACCAATTTTTAGTGTCACTGGCTCAGACTGTTCTTCTCCAGGTAAAAATCTATTTAAAAATACATTTTATTAAATTAATATATCAATATTACATAAGAAATTATAAAATTAAAAATTATAATTGTATATTATCATACATTCAATTATTTCATCTTCATAAAATATAAAAGGTTCAAATAATTAAGTATTAATATTTCTTTTTAAAAGTTTTATTATTATTATTAAATGATTTCTATTCTATTTATCTATTTATTTAAAGCTGACTTTTATTATTCTGTGAGAGGTTTCGCTGCCTTCACGCCATTTTCTAATCATGAATTATATCTTCAATTGTTCTCTCCTACACTTTCCAACTCCTTCACAGCCACATCTAATCATTTAATTATAATTTCTATACAATTCAATTGTTCTAAACCTATTTCTATTTATTTTAATTACTTAAAATAATAAAAGAAACCATTAAAGAATAGTTGAATTATTATTAATACAGTAAAGTACAATTAAATTAGTAAGAATAATTATCTAATCTAGAACAGTATTTTATATTATTGACATAATTAAGATATGCTGCCTATAATAACACTATATAAAAAATGGTAAAACAAAAATTAAGATTTATCAATTTTAGACACAAAAAGTTTTGTTATAAGTGGAAGATTCTATAAACAAAAAACTACTTATACTTGATAGCTTTATATTTTAGTCTTAGGTATTCTATTGTGAATTTTGGAGTTCAACTTTTTTGATTTAAAGTTAAGATTAATGAATATGAATATGAATAATATGATACATGTCATATATTGATTATTTCAAATTACAAAATTACAGTTATATTAAAGTGGATACAAATATCAGTTTGAATGTAAATTAGATTCATATTCAATAATAATACTCACTTGTGAATAATATTGACATATTCTTCAATAATATTATTTTCTCCTATTTCAATAGGCCCAGCTTCGGCAATTAAAGTTACACCAGGATGAATTATTGTAGACGCTCCAAAACTTACTTGACCCTTTACTTTAATTTCTTTACAAACCATAGCTCCCTGGCCAATTTTAATCCTATAAAGTCAAATGATAATTTTGTGTACAGTTCACATAGGAAAGAAATTATTATTTCCTAAAAAAAATAATAATTTTAATTCCATTTATTTCCATATTTATTTACTTAGATGACATTTTGAAACAAAATCAATGTATCAAAACTGTTATTTGTAAATTGTTGTAACAATCGAACATCCAATATTTTCTGAAGTTAAATGAATAAGTTTAAAATTCAAATTAAAAAAAAAAACAGTAGTATTACAAAAATAATGACTTCTTTTACGAGTAGAATCTCAAGAAAAACAAATCAATTACTTTTTTATGATAACAAAACAAAATAATTATTTATCAAGAATTGATAAGTGATAAAATTAAAATGATAAATTCACAGTATTCACACGTTTTTTCATAATTTTTTGTATTTAATTATTATTAACGAAAATATTATATACATTATTCATCAAATTAAGTAATGTGATGTTTATCATTAAAAGTAATATGAATATTTCATTATTTTGTAGCAAACATTTGAAAAAATACAAGAGAATTGGATATTACTATTATTCTATAGACTTTAAACATGGTATATTAATTTTACTTTTCAAAATTTTTATATTTTTGTTTAAAGTTTAAAAGTTAAATACTTTCAGGAGAAAATCAAATATTACCCATGAAATATGAACCTGAAATAGTTGAAAAGTCCAAAAATTTTGTGTCACCCAATGCTAATAGTTTAAACCATAATACTGATAATCCAAAAACATTTTCCATCATTTTACCACCACCAAATATCACTGGATCTTTGCACTTGGGCCATGCACTTACTGCCACTATACAGGATATTATTGTTCGATGGTTTGTTATTTTAATTTAATTTAATTTTAAAATAATTTTTTTGTCAAACATTTTTTTTTTTTTGTTCTAGGTACAGAATGAATGGTGTTGATGTAGTATGGGTACCAGGTACAGACCATGCTGGTATTGCCACCCAAGTAGTTGTAGAAAAAAAATTATTTGCTGAAAAAAATATTAACAGACACGATATTGGTAGGAAAGCTTTTAATCAAGAAGTGATAAAATGGAAAGAAAGCAAAATATCAATTATTAGAAATCAACTAAAAAATCTTGGTGTAACATTAGATTGGAACAGAGAGATTTTCACAATGGATGAAGTAATTAATTTTTATGGGTATTTGATTTGTTTATCCATTTTCTTATTTAACAATATAACATTACTATACATAAGTATAATTTACTTTGAAACTATTTAAACCTAAAAGTATATTTTTAGAAGCAAAGCAGAGCTGTCAATGAAGCTATTATACGATTATTTGATAATAAGCTCCTGTACCAAAAATATTCATTAGTTAATTGGTGTTGTTCTTTGCAATCTACAGTTTCTGATATTGAAATAGATCATAAAGAAATTTTTGGAAAAACTTATATTAGCTTACCAGGAAGTAATAGACCAGCAGAATTTGGAATTCTCACTGACATAGCTTACAAATTTCATAATTCTAGTTTGTATTATATCTACATTGTAATTTTTAGTTTAAAAATACATCTTTTACTGGTTTTTAGATCAAGAAATTGTTGTATCAACGACTAGACCAGAGACTGTACTTGGAGATGTAGCAGTTGCAGTAAATCCTGATGATGTTAGGTATAAAGGACTTAATGATGTAAAATTATGGCATCCATTTAGAAAATGTACTATACCTATAATTTTTGATCGTTCTGTTGACAAAAATTTTGGAACAGGTATTTTTATCTGGAAAGATTTAAATATTTAATACTTAGATTTTATAAATAGTTCATTTTTTGTTAAAGGAGCAGTGAAGTTGACTCCTGCTCATGATATTTTTGATTATGAGTTAGCTACCAAGCATAATCTTCCTATTATCAATGTTATTGATGAATCTGGAAATATTAACTGCAAATATGATGAATTTAATGTAAATTATGATAAATAATAAATCTAATATATTTTTATAGAATTATAGAAATGTATTTGTATTTTTTTTAAATATTTAATTTTAGGGTCTACCAAGATATGAAGCTAGAACCGCTATAACTCAAAAATTAAAACAAATGAATTTATTAAGAGACTCAAAAGAACATAAGATGTCAATACCTATATGTAGTCGCACTGGTGATATAATAGAACATCTACCAAAACTTCAATGGTATTAAAATTATTTCTTAAATATTTAGTTTATTTTTATTCCTAATTTCTATTAATATCTAAAACTATTTTTCTTTTTAACTTTTTAAGGTTTATTAATTGCAAAGAAATGGCTCAAAAAGCATCAGAATCATTTAGAAATGGTAAATTAACTATTGAACCTAATCATTATCATAATCAATGGCTTTTATGGCTTGATAATTCCAAGTATATAATTTAAATGAAATATGAATATGTTTTTATTAAGATTAACAATTATAAATACACTTTTAGAGATTGGTGTGTATCTAGACAACTCTGGTGGGGACATAGATTGCCATTATTTGAAACTAAATATGGCTGGATTTCTGCACATAATACAGATGAAGCTATTAAAAAAATTGGAGCTAAAATTCAATTATCAGAAAAAGAAATGGCCACTTTGGATATTAGACAAGAAGAAGATGTATTAGATACTTGGTTTTCTTCAGCGTTATTACCATTCTCTTCATTTGGTTGGCCTGACAAGGTTAATAATGTTAATATTAAACATAATTATTGAATGTTAAGTAAAAATTACAATGTTAAATCATTTTAGACTGAAGATTTAAAAAAATATTATCCTTTGAGTGTTATGGAAACTGGTCATGATATTTTAACATTTTGGGTTGCCAGAATGGTGATGCTAGGAACGTTTTTAACAGGATCACTTCCTTTTCAAGTAATATTTATTAAAATATTTAATTTACATTTAAACTTTATTGTATGTAACATTTTTATATGTTTAGAATGTGATTTTACATGGTATGATATGTGATAGTCACGGTAGAAAAATGTCCAAAAGTTTAGGAAATGTTGTAGATCCTGAAGATATTATTAATGGAATTTCATTAGAGGTAATCACCAATATTATTATTTTATTCTTAAATTGTTTCATTGTTATATATTAGGATTTACAAAACAAAGTTAAAGCCAATGCTAAATCTGGTACAATATCATATGATGAATTAGAAAAAGCCTTGGTGAGACAAAAAAAACTATTTCCAGATGGTATTAAACAGTGTGGTACTGATGCCTTAAGACTAACTCTTGTTTCTCAAAATATCAAAAGTGAGTTAAAATTATTTTGAGTCATAAAATATGAGACTTATTATTTTTGTAAATCATTGCAGATCAAGTAATTCACTTTGATGTGAACGAATGTTATCAGAATCGTATGTTTTGTAATAAAGTATGGCAAGCTACAAGATTTGTACTTATGTGGGCGAATGAGAAAAATGTTCATGACTATATGTCACTGGCCCCCATTAACACGATGCAATTTTGGATACTGAGTCGCTTGGGAGATTGTGTTCATACAATTAATATCTCATTCCAAAATTATGATATTTACATTGCTACAACTAAATTGAGAAAATTTTTTTACAATGAGTTCTGTGATGTTTTTTTGGTACATATCATTTTAGCATATTTTATCCAATTATAAAATGGTTGATAAATTAATTTGTTAAATTATATTTTTTTTAGGAAACATGTAAGCCTGTGTTTGAACATGGTACTGATGTAGAAATTCAAACAACTTGCAAAGTGCTATTATTTGTTCTGGATACATCTCTTAGACTCATGAGTCCACTTATGCCTTTTTTATCAGGAACTCTTTATAGTGCCTTACCTGGAAAAAATAAAACTCAAATTGCATATACTAAATTTCCTGAGGCAGTCGAAGTATATTTATTTTATAATATTGTATGTTATGTAACACATCAGTATTTAATTAGTATATTTATTTTTTTAGTATATGCAATGGCGTAATGAACACTTAGAAGCTGATATGATAACAGTGAGAGATATAATTACAGCAATACGAAGAATAAGATCAATTAATAATTTTAACAAAAGCCAATCTGAAAGTAAGATAAATTTGTATTCAATTTTTAATCTCAAATTTAATAGTAAATTTTATTTTTAGTTATCTTATATTCAAAATACCATAAATTATTACTCAAGTATGAAGATATTATTCAACATTTATCAGGATCTACAACATTATGTTTTTTAGAAGAAAACTCTAGTTCAAAGTTGCATTCTATTTCTGATACAGTTGGTGATCATACTGAAATTCATCTTCTTTTAAAAGTATTATAACAGCTCTTAAAATATTTTATTTATCTTAAATTTACTATAAATGCATAAAAGCATACAAATATGTAAAAAATAATTATATGAAGATCATTACTTGCCTGTAAAAATTGTTAAAATTTTGAAAAGAAAATGTATTTTTCAGGGTGGAAGTTTAGAATACAAGAAATATTATAGTATTTTAAATTCAAGACGTCAACGTTTACAAAAACAAGTTATGAAAATTGAAAAATCACTTTCATCAAATAAAAATTTTAAAAATAATATTGACAATGTGGATACAACACGAAAAGATAAGGTATTTAATTATATCCAAGATTTGATATGTATCTATTAAACATATTATATCTAATACATTATTAATTTTTAGATGCATTCATTATTGGAAGAAATAAATAGAATCAGTATGTATATGAAAACTATTAAGGACAAAGAATTAGAACCAAATAGACACATTTAACAATCAATAAAATGAAGAATTTCGACAAAATACTTTATGGTCCATACAAAAAGATAAAACTGAGTAGATTTTGTTTCAAATTATGCTAAGACCTTGGTAGGCTGGAAAATTGTTATTTCCAGGTATAATAAAGTTACCTGAATAATCAAAAAGTCTTATACAACATTTATTTTTTGCCACAATCTGTACAGATTGATAATTACTTAACTTACACTTTATTTTTGACTTAGTAATAAGTTCTAAGTTAATTATCTATTGTTAATTTTCAATCATATTGTATTTGTAGTCATTTTTGTATATAGAGTTTAAAAAGAAATCAAAATATAATCACTTGACTCAACCATAAAACAATGAACTATTACTATTTAAAGTATTTAAACATTGTGGAAAGAATTACTTAATAAGTCATCTATAAGATAATTTACATAAGAATAACCTATTAAAGATAGTGTGAATTTATGTCTATAAATGTTTCATAGATTATCGCTACAAAATACATTAATCAATATAGATATAATAATATAAATCTACAAATTTGTTTGTGCTTATTAGTAATAATTTTAACTGGATTTTTTTTTTTTGCAAATCGTATTAAATAATTTGGGACCGGTCCAATGTGTGATCTACCGATAAACTCCTATCTACGATAAAGCGTTATAGGTAGAACGTGTGATCTACTGAAAATATATCTATATTTTACACTATAGTGCTATACCTATATAATTATCGATATGATATGGATTTTACGATTGTATTGTATTTTTAAAATACATCATTTAAACATTCAGTATTCAGTTACCATTTAGCGTTCATTCAAGTCATTTCGTATGTTGATCAGTTTTTTCAATTTTTTTTTTATAACTAATTTTGTAAGTTGTAATAATTTAAATTTTAAAATGAATTCTACTACAACAATGGGATATGTATATAGAAATATAATTATTGATGAATTGAAATTGAGCTTATACTCAAACAATAGAGTCGTTATGGAAGTTAGTCAAAGTCTTAAGTATAATATTAAAATTAATGGTGCATCTCCACTATTAGACCGCCAACTTAAAGAAGAATGGTGGCGGTCATGCCATCCAGTACAAACTCAAATATTTGATGATTTTTTTATCAGATTTAAAAAATACTTTTGCAGTATGAATATAAATTATAATATATAGTTAATAGTTAATCACACATTGGACCAGCCATTTATCGGTAGATCACACATAGGAGCGGTTCCAATAATTTGTGATAATTTATACGTATCAAATATGTTTGTATGTCTAACAACACTATAAAAACAAAAGGTTTATTATAATTGTTGATTGTTCACAGTATATTTGTTTTTGGTGCACACATAATATCAGTGGTTTTTAACCTTTCAACAATGTAGTACACTTCTACAAAATTTTTGCGGCACACCAAAACCAATTCATATAATACGTGAAGCATATATTTTTATACATAAACAAAATTAACTTCATCAATAGATTTATCGCGGCAAACCAGTGTGCCGGGTTTGCCGCGACACACCGGTTGAAAAATGAAAATCACTGTATTATATATTAGTGATCTGAGAGTTTATGAAGTCTTATTTTATAATATAAGTATATATATATGTTCATGGTATAGTGTACACACGTGACTTGCAGAAATGCTGACTCACAGTTAGGTTATTACTATTATCAGTTATCAGTTTATCATTAAAGTATATTAATAATATGAATGATCGGTCTGTGACCGAGGAACACGACACATGTTCTCAGTTCTGTCTTCAACAGTTCAGCAGGTTCAGCTTATTTATTCGAATCGTTTTGTTGTTAAACATTTTAAATGTTTTTCAGCCTAAAGTTTTTCATTGTTATTTAAGTTATATTTTGTTTATGTATTTAGTTCTCGAGTCTCAACACAGTGCTCAGTGTACCTGAAATATCTATTTTCTTGCGCAATGTTGTTAATAGTGATTTGAACGTTCCTCATTTTCTGTAGTTATTTATTTAATTTTAATAGTTTACTTTCCATTTAACGAATTGTTTTGAACGTTTTGAAAATATCACGTTTTAACTGTTAAGATTTTAATTATAAAAGAACCATGGATATCCCCAACGAATTGCCTATTATTTATACAACACCAGTTTTGATTCCTGGTTTTATTTTGAAAATTCGATTACAAGTTGAAAAATAGTAAGAATATATAATATCATACATTAATAAACAATCAATACCTGATTGTATTTTACTGCTTTTAAAATATTTTTTAATTATCTATATATTTATAAATGACTATTTTAATAGTTATTTTACATGATTTTTGCTTCAATCTATTTTTTTATGACACTTGATTATTATGTGTTATGAAATATATTCTATTAGAACTGGCTAGGTGTGCCAGTGTACTGTAGTAGCATAGGCGAACTCAATAAATGTGGCACTTGAGCCGAGGGCTACCAAACATTTGACGATACATAATACTAATGCATTTATTTTAAATACCTATCAAATAATTTTAAACCACGACTAGGTATTAAGTTAGGATAAATATTAATTCGATAAGTTTATGATTAAACTATACAACAACAACTTATAATATGTATTATGTATATAGGTACCGTATGTATTATAAATTAATCTGTGATAAATATATGAAATTATTAAAAAAAATATTTCTAAAATGCACTATATTATTGCCTATTATTTTAATCAAAGTATACCTTTTTTTTTTTTTTTTGGTTATCTGCAATAATAATTACATTTCTTGACGTTTGCAGTCATTTTACAGAAATTATATCAGCTGAGGACATAAGTATAGTGTTTTTGAGGACACTACACCTTCACGTGTCATCTTCATTTAACAATTGCACAACTTAGCAAATTGTATGTTCTGAATAATCCGTTTAACTCTTTTTTTCCTAATATTACAGTAAACTGACATATTATTTAATTAAATGTAAGAATATTATCTAGTGAATTATAGTATTTTTGTAATATTTTTATTCAAAATTGAGTTATAAATATTTTAACATTCTTAATTGTTAATGCATTTCTAAATGTTCATACTTTTGTTTAAAATGCCTTTAAGATTTACATAATTGCATTTATTAAAAATAACATTTCAATTATAATGTATGTACTCCAGTTTGTTTACTGTTTTCAGAATGTACCTTTCTGTTGCCTTAAACATTGTTTTGTTGTTTTGGTGAAAGGTCTTTTTGAGCTTTTAAAAGGATTAAGAACTATTTATGTTTTATTTTCAGTAATAGATTGCGTGCCTTAACTATATTAAATAATTTTAGAAAATAATATCTCTCAAAATATAAGCGATTTCTGATTAATTACCTAATATATTTTCCAATGATTAAATAAAAAAAAATTTTTTTTGTAGGATTATGAATCATTAAATTTTTGAAAACCAGTATAAACTGGTATTCCCTATGCAATAATTCTGTGATAGGCAAGTCTTTATGCACTTACTTATATTATGTATGTGCAACATGTTATAAAATATATATATATATATATAGTGAGAAAATGCTATTCTGAAGACAGACACTGGTATCACTACAAAATATTAGGGAATTGAAGCGCTGCTAATATATTAAAAGCATTACCTTTAGGAGCATTGCTACTTAATTTAGTACTGAAAACTTCTTTAGTGCTTATTGTATATATATCTGAAAATAATAATATTAATAAGATAAAATGTCTAACAAAAATATGTACCAATATGGACTTCAGATGAAATAAAAAAAAAATACTTACCTATTTAAATATATCTATTCAACTTACAATCTATCTTTAAGTATAATATTAGTAGGCATATACCGAGGTATATACTTTAGTAGGAATTAACTATTTTATAATTATTTATTTTTTACAACATGTTAAATAGTTAATAAAAGTTTTAATTTGTTTGTAAAGATAATGTAATAACTTAAATTTCTGGTAAAAATATTGTTTAATCACTGCTTTAATCACAAAAACGTATTCAGTATACTTTCAAAGATCCTACAAGATGTATAAATATATGTATCTTATATATTTTATAAATTCCAAGAAAAAAAATGTATTTGTAAAATCAATTTATTTAAAGACCAGTATAAAATGGGTATAGATCATTTATTTTTCTAGAATACTGAGTCACATAACTTTTCAATTTACCCTTGAAGAGTACCTTCCATGATATGTGAATTCTGGGGTGGTTTAAGAATTAGCAACTAGCAGAAATGTGTAACTCCTGGTATAGGAAATAAAAATAATTTAGTAATAAAAATCTACCCATAATAAGGTTTGTCACAATTCTTGTACCAATGTAAATACAAGCATAAACATTTTTTATAAAAAAATGTAACCTAAAAATCAGATAGTTTTATTAAGATCATTCTTAATAACACACAATTGTTTTTTTTTTTATAAAATTGTTTGATTTTTCTTAAATTTTTAGCCATTTATTAAAAAAAAAGCAAATATAACTAAAATCTGTACATTAAAAATTGAGAAGTGATTGTAGTAGTTTGTTAAATTTTTAAGTTTAAGGCCATATAAATACATTTTAATAAATAAATGTTAATTATATTTCAGCTTTAATCTATTGAATTATCTTCAAACTAATCACGATACTAAATCAATACATATAGGTATAATACCAAACACTGATTTTGAAAAGGTAGTAATTATTTAAAATTTATATCTAAAATACAAATGACCTATTAATATTATTTACACATTTTAGGTTAGCAATGTAATTGGAACAGTGGGTCTGGTAAGAAGTATAATTACAGTTGATTCTGATCCTAAAGATTTTGTTTTGGTGTTGGAAGGAATATGTCGTTTTAAATTGGATATAAAAATAGCTGAAGAACCATTACAAATTAATAAAATTATAAAAATTGAAAATTTTAAAAACCTCCAAGGTAATTAATACTGTTTAAATGTAAACTATACATTTTTGATTAAACACATCTTGATTTAGGTGATGAAAAGGAAGTAAATGAACTTGTAGTTGAATTTAATAAAGTTGTGATTGACTATTTAACATATTCTGAATCAAACATATCAAATCTGTTAGCAAAAGAATCCTTTAAGGCATGTGCAAGTATATTTTAAATTAACTACTGTTTTATCGCATTATCTAATGATTCTAATGTTTCTATTTACAGGTTTTATTTAATAAACTTCCCTTGTATAAAACTGTTGCTTATTGTCTAAAAACTTTTGTTCGTTTAACTCCAGCTGATGCCTATACAATTCTTAGAGCTACAAACTTAAATGATTTATTAAGATTTGTTACAGATTGGTTAAAACGAGAAACAATTAGTATGTTATATTAGATATTGAATATTTGTCTATGTATTGTATAATAAATTTAAAGAATTTGATATTTTAGAAGAAAACAAATATTCAAATTCTGAAAAAACTGGTTTAATTCCAGTCCCTTTAATACTTTTTAATGACATAAACAGTAAAAAAAATGTTATGTTCAAGATACCTGCTTCACATGAATTATATCAAATACTTAAAGCAATAAAGTTAGCACGGTGTAGATAATGTATAAAATATTTAAAATAATTTATTAATATTTATTTTCAAATGTATTTCTTAGAGATTCTGGTATGCCAACTCCAATACACAAAGTTATTATGAAAGAATTTAAAAGACTTAATGAAATGAATTCTAGCAACCCTGATTATTCTGTATTTATAAATTATATCAGTTATGTTGCTAATTTACCATGGAACAAACGTTCAAAGGAAACCTTAGATCTGGAAAAAGCCAAAAATGTAAATATTTGTTGAAACATTAGTTTTTAAATTGAAATTAATTATTGTATGTGCTTGTAGATGTTAAAATCAAACCATTATGGTATGGATAAGGTCAAAAATAGAATACTGCAATTCATTGCTGTAAAAATATTAAACCCAGATCGGCGAGGACCTATTCTTTGTTTTGTTGGGCCACCTGGAGTTGGCAAAACATCTATTGTTAAAGCCATTGCCAGTTCGTTAAATCGAACTTTTAAAAGGTATAATCATTGATTTCGGAATATTCTAAAATCAGTGGTATAATTAGTTATCATATCAATACAAATAATAAGTGTATTGTATTATTAACAACAATCAAACAAATTTATTTTGTTTTAGAATATCATTAGGTGGAATAAATCATTATTCTGATATTAAAGGACACAGAAGAACATATATTGGGGCTATGCCTGGTTGTATAATACAAGCTATTAATCAAACAAAAACAAATAATCCTGTTATTTTATTGGATGAAATTGATAAGATGGTAAGAAATACAAATACTAGATTATAATTTAAAAATTATTATTCATTATATTTTAATGTATATACATTTTTTGTTTGTATTTAGTATAAAGGTACAAGTGGAGACCCTGCTGCAGCATTATTAGAAGTTCTAGATCCTGAACAAAATAACTCATTTGTTGATTCATATGTTAACTTGCCGTTTGATATCAGTCAAGTGATGTTTATTTCAACTGCTAATAGTGTTTTTAAAATACCACACACATTACGTGATCGAATGGAGATAATTTATTTGGAAGGATACACAGAAGTATATCACATTAATAAACAGAAATAGTTAATAATATTTTTATTAACATTTTACTTAATTGTATAGGATGAAAAAATACAAATTGCAGAACTTTATTTGATTCCAAAGATACTTAAAGATCATAATATGAATGAATTACAAATAACTATTTGCAAAAACACTATAAAAGATATAAGTATGTTTTCTTATTTATTATTATTTACAGCATTATTTAATAGTATTGGTGTTTAATTTTTATCAGTTCAAAAATATACAAATGAAACTGGTGTACGAGAATTGCAACGTAAACTTGAAGTTATTTGTCATTATATTGCTGTTGACATAGTTGAAAATAGTGATAAAAAAATAAAAAAATATGTGATCACACCAGAGTTGTTGTTAAATATTCTTGACGTAAGGACTTAAAAATAATTATTTTTGTACGGTATTCGTAATATATTTTAATTTTTCAGAGTGAATTATATAATGTGAAAAATACATTAGTAGAAGGAAGTTGTAATAGAGTAGGTGTTTCTATTGGATTGTCATGGACTCCAGTTGGGGGTAAAGTTCAAATTATTGAAGCTACCAAATTGTACTCTAGAAATGAGAAAAATGGCCTAATCTTAACTGGCCTAGCTGGTCAGACTCTTAGAGAATCAGTTGTAATTGCACAGAGTTGGATACAATCATTTGTAAAAAATGTAAATTGTTTATATTTTCATTAGTAAAACAAATTACATAGATTATCAGATTATCAGATTATAGTTTTATTTATTAAATAGAATGAAGTTAACATACAAGATTTCTGCGTTCACGTCCATTTACCTACTGGAGGAATCCCAAAAGATGGACCATCTGCTGGTATTTCAATTGTTTGTGCATTAATCTCTCTTTACTGGAAAATACCTTTAAAATCAATGATTGGAATGACTGGAGAAATGTCATTAAATGGATATGTATTGCCTGTATGTAATATATTCAATTTTGTATTTAGTCAGTAATTTTTTATACTGTTTGATTTTTACATTTAAAGATAGGTGGTGTGAAAGAAAAGATTTTAGCAGCTTACAAATCAAATATTAGAACTGTCATTATACCTGAACTTAACCTGAAAGATTTAAAAAAAATACCTAAAAATATCAGAGTGAGTATATTTTTAAAGTTTTTAATATTTTGATGTAAACTAAAAGAACAAAGAAATTTATTTGTATGGCGTATATGTGTTTTTCAATTTATAACCTAAATTGAGATATATATATATATATATATATGTATGTAAGCTTATCAGCTTTTTTACAATAATTTCGAGCAATTTATATCAACTTTATTTTTAGAAGTAATTAAAACTTAATTCTCAGACATTAAACAAAGTTAGTTCAGTATTGCTTGTATCATTTGAAAGAAGTTTAATGTGAATAAGAATATGCCATAAGAAAGAAAAATAATGTTTGAATGTAAATAAAATAATTTTGATTCTATATTTTAATAAAGCTATTGTTTTTTTTTGATATGAGCAGACTTAGAACTTTCCTAAAATACTTATAGAGGCATTGTATGGATATTTAATTTTTTTGAACTACTTTTACACAAAAATTTTCCAATTAACTGTAATAGTTTATTATGAGGTTCTTCATTACTTTACGGTTATTCTTCAGCAATTTTTAAAATATCAAAAATTCACTTTTTGAGTTTAAATTGTTCTGTTCCTTTGCTCAGAATTGTTATTTTTAAATATTTATTGATTTAAAAAAAAAAAAATTATATTTTTGTTCTTTTTCATATTAAGACCATAAGATTTTTTATGTCAGTTGTTATTTATAAATATTTAATTTTTTTTAGGAGGATTTAAATATCATTCCAGTGAAACATGTGGAGGAAGTATTGGATATTGTTATTCCAGGAGGATTGGCAATACTGCAAAATCCATCATTTACAACAATAGAAATGTGTAAACTTTAGTCTTAATATGTGACTTAAACAAACTTTAATTTTTATTATTTTAAACAATACTATGTAATACATAAATACCTATAAAATGTTCATTTGGTACCTATTTTTAAATATATTTTACATTTTTGTGTATTAAACATTAATAAATTCAAAGAACAATATTTTTCAAATATTGTAATAAAAGTGTTTATTAATTGATGCTGTAGATTAAAAATCATGTTTGTTAATCAATAGATCATCATCTCATTAGGGTCAACATTTGCATTTACATTTCATCAAAAAAATCAATAAATGAAAGTAAAATTAAATTATTTTTTCTTAATAATGTTGATAGACTTTATTAAATTTTTTATTAACTCAGTATTTTTCTACAATGATTTTCTATAATCCAATAATATTTAATACATATTAACAGGTTCTTAGATAATGTATTTACAAATCTGATAAAAAAAAGAGACAAGTTAATGTTATTGTTGGATTTAAAATAATATCTAACATAAAAATTAGTTTTTATTTTTAATTAGTAATTGTACATAATTTTTAGTCTAACACAGTACATAATATACTTGTTTGTGTCGTGTAATTTTAACTGTCAAACACAGTGAAAAAACTTGTTTATTTCACTTTATTGATTCTTGTCTCTTCCATGAATTATGACCTAGTGTTCAGCCTTTTTTTCATCACTAAACTATGTCCAGTCTACCACGAGTTCTCAAATTTTGTTTAATCACCATAAATTATTAAGGTATGCAAAGAATCACTGACAGTATTTATTAAAAATAAATCTAACTCTTCAAAGATTAACACGTATTTTTTTTTATCTATTTGGGCTTTATGGATTTACTTTTACTCTTTGAAAATTGATTTCATAATCAAAATATAATTATACTAATCACATGGAAATCTTTGAATAAACCTATAGGTTAAATTTATGTTTTTAATATTCAATTTTGCATGCTCAAATAATGCTTTTTCATGATTTACAGAATTTTAATCTAAGAATGTTACAAAATAGCATTTCTAAAATTAGACTTCATTGCTATAAATTTTAATGTCAATCAACACATAAACAAACTCCCAAATTATTTTTTTTTTTTATTAATTTTTAACAAAAAGCATTAAACTTTAAAAACTTAAATGATCTAACCAAACTAGTAACCAATCCTTTCAATTTTAGTTTTTATAAAAAATCCTCTTAGAGTTTTTCATCATCCACAATGCAATATTGATTAGTGGTACAGCAGTAGTCATATCCATACTATAACATACCATCTGAACTGTCAAAATATACATTAATATTTTACTGAGGATTGTGTTATAACCATAATCATCAATTAATAAAACTCATAATATCTTATTTAAGTTTATGATTAAAATTTTACTCATAATTTATTTATGAGTTTTTATCAAAACTAATGTTACAACAGAGTACATTACACAAATCTCATAACTTATCGGTCATTAAAAAAATAAAAATAATAATCCTAAGGTTTGAATAATAGTGTTTCCACATGTTTTAGTTCCTCTACTAAAGCACTGTTCAGTCATACAGAATTTAAGAAAAATCATAGTTTGCAAAAGCAACTAAAGATTACACTATTTACTACAAAATATTAAGAACTGGAACAAATGATTAACAATGTAATATTGAAAAGTGTAATTATTCTTATTGATAAAGTTCCGTTAAGTAGCAAAAGACAACAAAAAAATTATAAAGTATTTTTTTTTACTTTCAAAAAGTTTGTCGCAGAAATAATAATAAACTAATAATATTTTAAAAATAAAATACATAGTCAATAATTATATCAAAATTTATCTTGTAAATGATTCAAAGGTGGCTGCTTGACGTTCAACAAGCAAACAGAATTCTTGCCTTCAGCACCACAGCCAGTAAATAGCACAGCACAAAGTGCAAATGAAGACATTGCTGCCCAATACTTTTCGCACCACCGATTTACTAGGTCTAAATTATTTTTATTTTTTAGTTGCATGTGTGCCATACAAAACCGATTAGTAGTGTCTTCCATTGATTTACACACAGATTCTAAAACAACTTTGTTAGTTGAATGCTCCTCAATACTTAATTTGGATGTTGACCATATATTATCATATGCTGCGATTAGATTCTTTTTAAGATGAACTTTACCTGTAAAATTTTAAAATTCATATCAGTACATCTAAATCGATTTTTTTATAATGATCTATATAAATAATATACAAGTAATTTTTTACAAAGCTTAGTAAGAAAAAAGTATTATAATAGATTTAAAAAAACGATAATTAGTAGAATCCTAATAGTTGATAGAAGATTGTATACCCAGATTACTGGAGATTATTTTAAAAGTATACACATTTTTAATGAATTTTGTTTTACCACTTTTGCAGTTTTGATACAAATAATAAAAAAATTTAATAAATAACTAAACGTTCCAACAGGTGTCCAAAAATGGGCCAAATTAATTTAATGATGTAATATTCTCAAATTCTATATTGATAAAATTTTAAAACATTTTGATCAATATACATAATACAAAGTAAGTGTAGAGAGTAACAACATTGTTGAAAATAAATTTATTTAGGTTAACTGATTAAGAAACTTATACAAGTTACTATTGAATATTAATGGAATAATGTGCAAACCAAACAATCCAGTTTGTTTACTATAAAAAGGACTCCAATAGTTGCCTCTCAAATACCCCCTTTGAAAGACCATTATTTTAAATGAATAAGATATTATACAGTCATATTGAAATGATACTTACCTTTAGCTGAACTTTCTGAAACACTCTGCAATAATGCTAAGAACTTTTTAAATGTTTCTATATGCTTGACATTTATTTTAGTTTTTTTATTTACAAATTCAGCTAATCTCCTCTGACCAATTAAATACGCGTCTCCGTAAGTTAGGGCTATAAATAAAATACAATACTAAAATTGAGGATTAATTTAAATATTGAAACGTACATTTGCATAGTTTTAGTTGTACAAGTAACATAGTAGCACGACTGTCTTCTACAGAATCATGTCCAAGATTACCACATTGAATATTCATATCCAAAAAATATTTGGCTAAAATTTTTAATTTACTTTTAGACCCTTTATTTCCATTCAAGTTGAAAATAACACTAGTGTCTATAATGTAAGGATGGAATAACTGTAAAATATATAATTAAAAATGATTCTTTTAGAATAAACAATTTAAACCAAAGCTATTTTTTTTACCTTTAATGCTTCCAAGTCACAATTTAATGATTGTCCAATTAAAATTGAATCTGGAGATAATAGTTTAATTATATCTTCTTGTACGTCTGCTAAAGTGGTTTTAACATTCTTAAGTTTTGAAGCTGTGATTCCAGAATATACAGTTAAATAATTTGTGATTTTGTTTGTGGGTTTCACAAAAGATTCATATATTACCTAAATAGAAAACATAATAAATAAATGAATAAAAATAAAAAGACACGCTAAAAGTAAGTTGGATATGGTTATTTTTGATATCTATTTAAGGGAAAATACTGTTAATACTAGGGGTGGCAAATCTACAGTATACAAATAGCTGTTCAAATTTTAATAGTACTCATAAATATTAAATCATTAATCTTAGGTTTCATGAAAAAAATTATTTAATATTTTGAAAAATGTGACTCATTCCAATTAATTAATATTTACATCAATATACATACGCAATAGTTTATCTTCCACAATGAAAATTTTCAAATCAAAACAGAAAAATATTAAATTGTTGAATCAAACAAATACTGTTAGTTTCTTTAAAATATTTAAGATTAACAAAATACACAACTGATACTAAAAAAATGTAAATGGTTTTGTTTAAAATTTTAATTACACTAAGAAAATGTTTTTATTTGGGTCATAGATTATGACTATGACATATTATTGGCATGAGGATTTTTATAAAACCAATAACATTTCAGAATGTAATTTGAAAAAGATTTGCCACTACTGGAAAATACATATAATATTTAGTATAATAATAAATGTAATAAGTTTAAAATAGAATATTTAAAATTAACAACATTTTTAATGAAATAATAATTATTTGATTATTATATAGATATTATATTAATATTTAAATGCCCAATAATTACACATATATCGAGATTTTTCTGTAAATACTGACATTTTATTATTTTTAACGACTCCAGTGACCAAATAAAGATATATATAATTAAAATGTTACCAGGAGTAGGTGAGTTAAAAGGTATATAACTATTATAAACTTACATCTAATTGTTCATTAACAATTGAAACTCTAGTAAGTTCATTTCTCCCAATAGATGTATAACACATTTCACAATCAATTGCATACATTGGGCTGTCATCAGTAACAGGCAAGTAATGATTTTTTGTAAAACGGAAGCCATCCATTGTAAATTGACGTTTATTGGTTGGTAAAGGATAATTATGAATCATCATTTGGTTTAAAGACATCAGTAAGCGTGTTCTTGAGCAAATTTCTTTTTTTTCAATATTTTCATTTTGTGTTAATGTTGGTTCTGAAGCAATATCATCAGTTATTGAAGTTGTAGTGTCGGTATCTATTGAAAAATAAATGTATAATTATTTATTTCACTATTTTATAACTAACAATTCTATTGGCAAAAATCTGTTTTTAAAAGTTCCAAGAACACAACCTAGTATTTACCATAATCAGCACACCAACTAGGGGGCAGCTCAACTTCAATAGGTGGTAAAAATTTATATTTTGAAAACATTGGCAATGAACTATTAAAATTTGATAAATCTTCTTTAGTTTTTACTTCACATCCATCGATTATTAAAACACAAGTTTGATTTAAGTTACATTGCATTTCCAAACTCGACCATCTAAATGTTTAGATAAATTTTTTTTAAATGATTAAGTATTTTCAAAAACCCCACTACTTACTTTGGAACATATTTTCCTGGACCATAAACAGAATATAGAATTAACTCATTTAGGTCAGTAGGTAATAACGGACTTTCACTGAAACCACTTTCATTTAACTCTGATAAATGTCCACGGGCATTTAGTAATATTCTTGGGAAAGTCTGAAAAAATAAATTTATTAATATTAATAATGCAATAATTTTATTTAAGTTAATGATAACAATACTAGTGTATTCATTTTTAGTATTTCTTTAAACTGAATCAGTTATGGTAATCAAAAAAATATAATTTTTTAAAATATACTTTTGGTGATTGACATTTGACTATAAACATGAAAAAATATCAATTATCACATCTATTTGAAAGTATCATAAAACAATGTAATTGATTCACAAAAATATCTGATATACATTTTTAATAAGTTTATACATAGAGTATAAAATTAGATTTTTGATATATAATTTATAAATTATGATTAGGCAGATAATATTATTATTGTATGAATACAAAAGATTCAATTGTATATTACCAATTTATGGTTAAACTAGTTTATTGGTAATTTTAATAATAATTAGTCTTGCTTTTATACATAATTTATTTTGATTTAAAGAATACTAAGTAGAAAAAAATAATAATAGTTTTAAATTCATCTATTACAGTAGTAATTGACACTATTAAGAACATTTCAACAATAAAAAAAAAGGTATGTGTGCATAATTAAATATATACATTATACATACTTTTCTTTTTTAACTATTAATATTTCATTGATTATTATTTATTATTCTATAGGTATATATGATCTATATTAGTACTATTTTTGTATGTATAAAAATAAAAGAGAATTGCATTAACAGATCTTCATAAGTTTAGCATTATTTTAATTATTATAAAAATAAATTTGGTAAAAACTACTGATTACTGTTATTACTAATTACTACCTTATTATTGTTTGAGAAAAATTATTTTACACTTCAATAATATTTTACAAATTACTATTAATCCGTCATTGATATTGGTATTAACATTCTGCTAACATTGAGCTTATATTAGGAACCACTTGTTCAAATAAAAGTAATTATTTTAAAACTCCATGTATCTCTTATTTAAATAATATTATACTAAAATAACCAAAAATTAAGTACAAAAACATCTATTTGTGATTAATATGAACTGTTGAATTTTGAAATCCGCGATTATGTTAGCATCCCACTCGCACGATACTAACTGTGTCATTACTGTTTTCATGTTACTTTTATACACGAGATTTGGCAAAAATTATAAAAAAATGTTTGCATGGTTAAGTGAGGCTGAGGATGATCACATATTAAATGATTCTGATGATACTGATGCCGATTTTTAATTTTGTATTCCAAATAATGTAGAAAGTGGAAATAATAAATATATATATTTTTTTCTATCAAAACTTATTTGTTTTTAATTTTTTCGTATGAATAATTTGAATGACAAATTGCTATTAGTAATCAAATATTTGTAGAATATAACTAGATAAATATTTTTATCTTTGTTTTACAATTCAAAATCTGTTAAATAATTCATAGTATTAAAAAATGATAATGTTAGCACAACGCTAACACTATACCTATTACGATACAAAATATCGCAATACTGGTGACAGATTAAGCAATATTTAACATGCTGGACTATAACATGTGTTGTAATAACATAATAACATAATTTCAAAATTATTATTTAAATCGTTTAGTTTAGTTGTTTATTATTGATATTTATGAATGTTACAGATGTTTAAAAAAAAAAACCCCACTGTGTGACAAATACTCACTTTTAAAATTTTTTTTTTCTCTTTTAAATAGAGTTTTAGCTTTAAGTACTCTTCTTCAGTGAGCGTATTCGCTTCTTTTGCGGAACTTGGTTGTTTGCAAGTACGTTTTTGTTTGATGGCAGGTTGAGTGTTGAACGACAACGATGACTTATCCGTCAACTTTCGTTTGCCCGTCATGCTAATTTCTGAAGATCGAATAGACCACGTGCCGAATAAAATATAAACAGTGTTCTGTGATATATTATGATTAAAATAGTATAATAATAACACTATAATAATAGTGACAATATATTCTTTAAATTTAACACTCGTGCTTTAGACATTCTGGCACTCGCGGGCCATGACTTAAATTGATTCTAGAGTCTTAACTCTTAAGTCTTAACGTAAATACTTAATATTTAATGTTGTTGTTGTTGTTGTTAAGAATTAATAGATAACACGTGATAATGACCTCGTGATGGTAGTGAGGATTTTGATAAGAAACACAATGATCGTACAGTATGACCGCTGACAAGAATATTGTGAAAAGTTTCTCGCTTAATGCATTATATGACAGCTGCAACTTCAGCTGTTTTCAGAATATTATTTAAGCCATTTGAGGACTAATCGTTATTATATAATATATCGTTGTTTTGTTTTCCATTTCAACTTTTCCAGAATTTCAGTTGCATTCCAGCCTTCCGGGCTGGGCCTTTACTGTCTAACAAGTCTTACCCCGCCAAAATATAACCCTTTCACAACGGCCGCCGTTTCCTCACCCACTCGTTCGCCTATCAAGCACTATAGCAGTGCAGCACCTACTACACGTCTACACTACACACTTCAAGTCACAGCCCGGGTGGTTTCGAAGTATCGAACCGTTCCACTCTTCGCGTCAACGGCTCGCTCTCGCGGTGCTCAAAGACGAGTATTATATGGTTGTGCTGGACGTTCTGGTATTACGATTTGCGATTGAACTCTAAAGTCAAAACTCGCAGTGTATGCACCACTCGCTTGTCGCGTCACATCCCGATATCCAAACCAAATCTCCTCCAACGACATCCACGGCATGCGACCGTCGACGTCACCTTTCACCAGCGCCCAGTCCGCGAACACCTGACGTAGAAATCCAATTTACGACTTAACGAGAAGGCGAGCTACCCCATCACCACTGCGAACGGTAACTCGTCCACCCGTTCGGGCAGCGTTTGCTGCTGTGCTCCTCACCTTTTGACGGCCAACGACACATCGGTCGGACGACTAGTGAGTAGTGAGTGACTGGTGAGTTTGAAACGGTTTTTGGCGGAACGATTTCGGAAGGCTCCCCCCCTCCCTCCGGAGACGCATGTGGACCGTGGTCCACGACTTGTCGTTGTTATTATTATTATCGGGTAGTGTGTGCGAGTGCGTACGCAAGTGAACGCTACCGAACACAATAGGCAATAGTAAATTGGCGGAATTTCTCTACTAACGAACACTTGCTTCAGTTTTTATTTGTTTTTCCTCGTTGTTTGATTCGTGTCAAATTTTTACCTATCTCGATCTTTTTGCGTCACGTTTAACCATCGTTATTTGCATGGGGTTTTCTGTTTTTTAAATTGAGTTCTATTTTTTACGTGTGTTATCAACGAGGTTGCTGGCCGCTGAGTAAAATGCACTCGACATCGTCATCATATCTACCAAATGTCCGAGTGATTGTAGATAGTGCACGGATTTCTGAATAATCACAGCAAATTGCAATGTGCATTGCTATTAAATCGTGAATTGTGACGTTTCTTCGTGTGATTGCATTAGTGCATTTGGTAGGTGTTTTTTTTTTTACGGTTACAGGACGATTGATTTTTATTGTTAAAGACCTCGTCATCCGTCCAGTAATTTCACGGTGATTAAAGTTCTTTACACTTATCTACCTATAACCTGCTAATTTATTGTAATGTTTATTTTTTCATTATTGAGTAGAAAGTTTTATGTACTTAGTTCATGTTAAATTAGCTTACCATTTTTTTTAATTTTATCCAAAGATATATGTTTGTATAACTGATTATCCAATTGACTTTATCCTTACTAAAATTAAACTGCATAGATTTTAAGTCTAGATACCTATTTAACATTGAAATAATACATAAAGTTGTAAAATATAATTTTCATGTTTTAATATAAATAGGTAAGATGAGTATTCATAAGTTTTTTAAAGTTGATAAATAATGATTTATAATTCTATTAATGTATATGTAATTTAATTAAAAAGGCTGATGTTCCATATTTAATTGATGGAGCCTTATTTGTTTTTAGGTATAATTCATCTATTTAAATGATTAAAAATCATCATTCAAATAAGTTAAATAAATACCAAATTTAAAAAGTTGTTTTAAATTTGAATAACTAACATAAAAACTGTAATTAAAGATAGTATTGTTAATGTGGTAACATTAGTTAGAATGTATGATATTAAGAAAAAAAACGTTTTTGAATTTGAGCATTCCAACAAATGACAAAACAAATCTGTGCTTAATTTTTTTGTTCTTTTATAGTATGATGAAATAATTTAATTGAAAAATTTTTTTTATAATATTTTTAAAGATACATAATGAGAAACCGAAGTAGATTTACAAGTCAATCTGATCAATCTGATGATCAAATTTTCACACCAGTGGTTCACACAAGGTAAAGTAACCTATTATATATTATATAGTATATCTGAATTATATTTATTTATGTATATAATGTTAAGGTCTAAATTTTCATCCATGCATCATACACGTGGAAGTAGTGATCGTCACGAAGGAGATGATTCTAACAATATAGGTAAAAATATTAGTATAATTTTTTAATTGTTTCTTAAATATTTCATTTTATTTTATCAATATAGAAGGAACTAGAAGAAGTACTAGAAAACGAAAATTAAAATATGAAAACTATAGTGATACTTGGATTGTTGGTTCACAAGCACTTAAAGGTTATCCAAATATGGTAAATGAAGAAGGAGATGGTAAACTTTATATTATTTTCATAACTTTTATTGACAACAATATTTAAGCATATATCTAATAAATATGTTTTTCATTTAGTTGAACGTAGAATTACCAGAAATTATAGATTGAAACAAGTAGTAGATGATGATGAAGAGGAGGACGAAGAAGATGATGATGCTAATGTTACTACTGAAGTTAATGCAGATAACCAAGAAAATGAAGAAGAAGAAGTAGAAGAAGAAGGAGAAAAAGAAGAAACCAATCATAACTCATCACAAAGTAATGGTCCTAAACATGAAGGTAAACATGTGTCAATTTCAACTGAAAATAATGATAGTCGTCCAAGAACAAGGAGAGCTGTAGCTGAAGCTAGTGATAAATCTAATGACCAAAATGTTGATAATGTTGATTTATATACTCGTATAAAACGTACACGAAATAAAAATCAAGCTAAACCTAATAGTAAGTTTAATTTATACTATACATTTATTAAAAATTAATGTACTTTGTGTAATTTAATTTAATAGTTGCCACGGAACAAAGCAGTGATGAATCCATGAGTTCTGAAGAATTAAATAACTTGAATATTGAAGACTATTTAACATCTATTAAAAAGTTAAATGGCAAAAAAAAAAGAAGGACTATAAGATTAAAACAATGTAGTATAAGACAATCCAATCGACCAAGGTATTATAGATACAGTTTGCGTAAAATTAAACCTACTGTTCAAAGATTTCAAATACATTCTGAAAAAAATACAAGTAAGTTTTATGGGTACCTTTTATATTTTGTTATTTTAATAAGTATACTTAATAATTGATAAACAATTATTTTCATATAGTGAAGAAACCCTTATTATTCAATTATCCTCATGTTTAAATTAATGGTCCATCGTTTTTTCATAAATAATTACTAAAAGAAATCTATTAATTAATTTTTCATTTTATGTACTGATTTATTGAATATAATTGGGAAAAACTAACAAATAAATACTCTCGTCAAATCATTTTTTTACATAAAATAAAAATTATCAAAAATAAGGTCACATGTATTTTTATGAGTGCTGAGTTTTAATTTTTTTTTTTTTTTATTATACCAAAATTATTATGTATTCAAATATTCTTATAAAATTAGTACACAATTTCAAGTATATTTTTATTTGAATTTTACAATTTAGTAAATAAGTTTTTGTTAAGTTGCGTACATTTCAAATAAATGATTAAAATAAAAATTGTCATCATATTCAACATTATAATGTTTAATAATAATTGAGCACAGATTTTTATGCTTTAAACAGTTACAAAATATAATATTAATTTAATAACTTATAATAATGAATTACTTCAAATGTCATGAACAATTTTTACTTTAATATGCAATACATTTCAAAATTTAAAAAATATGGAATAATTATTAAATATACAGCAATTTGTAAATAATAATTCACCATTTGATTTAAATTATTATAATAGTAGAGATAACTGATAAAAATCCAAATAAATGAAGAAAAAAAAGTGTTATAGAAATCTGCGCTCTGGTTATGATTTATCCTCAAATAATTTTTATTATAACCCAAAAAAATAAAATCATAAGAACTTCAAATAATCCAATACTCCTTGGATTATAATTTTCTATTTAAAATATACAATGAAATTAATGACTTTTAATAAAAGCTTGTAATATTATAACATATAATATTTATAGTTTGTTTTTTAAAAAAAATAGCTTAACCTATTGTATTATTACTAGATAAATAAATTACAAATTGCAATTTTAAAAATATAAATTTAAATATCCTTAGAAATATAGGCTCGTAATTAATCTTTGTCACTTAGAATCATTATTATGCACAATAATTAATCATTTAAATAAAGTTTTAGACGTCTATTAAAGTAACCTATTTAATGACAAAGTACAAACAACACTTTGTATACAGCAGACCTACTTCCCCGGTTTTTAATTAAATTTTTTTTTTCATAGTTCATTATTATATAATTTTTTCATATTCATTTTCAGCTTTAGAATTAGCTTAATTTCTTTATGTTATTAACATCCTGTATGTTAATGTTTGAAAAATAAAATGTCTGTATTGTATCTTAGTAACCATATATATTATATATTATTATTTATATAATAATTATAATTTTGAATATCAGGTAATTTTTTCTAAAAATAAACATAAATAATTCCTTGATTGAAGAGCTATGTGTTAAAATCAATTATTAATTTGCAATTTTATAAAAGTAATGTACCTAACAGTTGTCATATTTAAACAGTAGGAATATTTTTGTTTGATTGTTACATAATGTAAAAATGTAACACTTCATTTATTTCTATGCATATTTTCAGTGAATTTTGTTATTTATTATTTATAATAATTAAAAGAAAACTATATTTCTAAAAACTATATTAGCAAAAATAAATTGTTTTTGTAGCTTTTAATTTCACCATCTACCAATCTATGACCACTAAGTACCGTTATAAGTTTCTGTTATTAAATTTACATTGATATACATCATTTTTAAACTCAATAATGTATATAATTTTTCTCTTAGGTAAAATATGACATATTTAAGCAAGAAATTTTTATTTTTAAGAAGACATGTGTTATAAGTTTATTTTGTTGTATATTTATCCATTATCAATTTTATTTTAAAGGTATTATCAATGCTCTCTTGTCAATATTATTTTTCAAAATTAAAAATGCTCATTACTTACCTAATTTAAAATTACATTAATGAAAAAAACACTACTAATATTCTTACCTCTCATTTTATATTAAGTTAAATTTCTTTTATGTTTAAACTAACTACACAAAAATAATTCTGCTGAATCCAAATTTGTTATGATTTGTATATTTTAATGACAAAAACAACACTTGCAGGTATTAAGTCTTGTTTATAGTAATATTTTTATATATTTCTATTAATTATTTATAGGAGCTATAAAAACTCCTTCAAAAATGGTGAATGGTCCAAGAAAACGTCGTTCTTCATCTTCATCTGATTCTAGTTCTTCTGGTATATCTGATAATGATTTAGAAACATCTGTCAATCAAACTCAAGTTATTAAAAAACCCAAAGGTCACACAAGAGATGAAAAAAATAAAAATAAAACCTCTCTAGAAGATATAAAACCAATTGTAGTTGACAGTGGTATTGGTTTTCATAATATTGGTGGCTTACAAGAACACATTGACTGTCTTCGAGAAATGGTTGTTTTCCCAATGATTTATAGAAATGTTTTTGAAATGTTTGAACAACATCCAGCTAAAGGAGTGATTTTCCATGGACCACCTGGAACAGGTAAAACACTGCTTGCCAGAGCATTAGCCAATGAATGTAGTAAAGGTGGACAAAAAGTATCATTTTTTGTACGTAAAAGTGCTGATGTATTATGCAAATGGGTTGGTGAATCAGAAAGACAACTTAGACTTCTTTTTGATAAGGTAAAGTATATAATGTTTTAATTTAATTTTTTTTTCATACAATATCATAAATATAATCAATATTATAGTCGGTTATGTCTTTAATTTTTGTATTTTCTCTGTCTGATACTTAAAATAAGTGATATTTATAATAATGAATTATAAAAATTAATGTAAACTAGTTACATTATTTTATGAATAATTATATGTTTTACCTGAAGGTTTTCGAGTTCAAAGTTCCTATTTTTTTGTATTGGAAATAAATTTGAAACTGTTTCAGTTTAATTTTTAATTACTATATTTTATAAGCAGCATTATAAAAATCTGATAATTTTTAGTTATTTTTTTATTTTCAGGCAAAAGAAATGAAACCTTCTATTATATTCTTTGATGAACTTGATGGATTAGTACCAGTACGTTCAGGAAAACAAGATCAAGTACATAATAGCATTGTTACCACAATGTTGGCTATGATGGATGGATTAGAAAACCGTGGTGATGTCATTGTTATTGGTGCCACAAATCGTATTGATTCTATTGATCCTGCTCTTAGGAGACCTGGTCGATTTGATAAAGAGCTTTATTTTCCTCTCCCAACAGATAAAGTAACAATGAATAATTCCTTAAAATTAAGCCTCTTGCCCTGAAACTAAATTTGTTTATTACAGGAAAGATTACAAATATTACGTATTGTAACTAGCAAATGGAAAAATATTCCAGAAAATGAAACATTAATAAAATTAGCTGAAGAAACTGTTGGTTATACAGGTGCTGATTTGAATTCTCTGTGTTCTGAATCAGTATTGCAGGCATTAAATCGTACATATCCACAAATTTATAAAACATCAAAAAGACTACTCTTAGATTTAGAAAAAATTCTGGTATTATTTATTTTATTTTATTTTATTAAATTGATTCTTTATCAGAGTTTTTTTTATTAATTATTACTGTAATAAAGTTGTTCAAAGCAATAAACCATTTTAGGATTCTAATTGGTTTTTTAACTTAAAAATTTTCTTTTAAAATATTCTAATACAACATTCATTTTAGGTAAAACTCGAAGATTTTGAAAAAGCCATGAGTAAAATTGTACCAACTACTGAGCGCAACATTGTACTCAATCCTAAAAAACTTCCAAGTATTTACCGTCCATTATATGAAAATGTTCTGAGTGATTTTATATCCTATATAAGTAAAATCTTTCCAGAACTCAAATCTCAATCAAATCAAAGGTAATGTTCATTATGTTCATTATTTGTTTATTATACTGGTATTAATATGTGTAAATAAATTTCATTTAATTCCATTAATAAAAAGTATAAAATTATTATTTTATTATTTACTTATTAGACTGAGAGTAGCAAAAGCTCCTCGCCTTCTGGTTCACAGTTTATCGGATTCAAAAAATGTTTTGGTTGTTCCAGCGCTTCTACAGCATTTTGAAAATTGTTATAGACATACATTAAGCTGTACAACATTACATAGCAATTCAGTATATTCTCCCGAAGAAGCTATTGTACAAGTAATACTATTATAAATTACTTTAACTATTACATAGTTTTCAAAATGTATTACGAATACTTAATATTATAATCAAATTTAATTACATTTTTATTAGATAACTATTTCTTTGTATTATTCATTTTATTCCTAAATTTTTTACTAAATTTATCTTGTTTTGTTTCAGATTTTTAAAGAACTTCCTAAACATCTTCCTGCAATTTTATTTATTCCAAATATCGGTGAATTTTGGTCCAGTTTAACATATTCTTTACAAAAATTGTTCTTAGAATTATTGGAATCATTAGATATTACTCTTCCTGTGTTCATATTTGCAACATCATCTTATGATTTCAAAGATTTGCCAAAAGAAGTAATAAATATTTACAATAATATAGCTTGTATTTTTGAATATAAATATTATATTTGTAATATAATTCATTATTATTTTTTTTACAGATATCATACATATTTTCTGGTGATAAAAGAAAATATACTATTCCCAATCCATCATTAAAGGCTGTAGAATCGTTATTCTATCTATTACTTGATAAAGCCCTTACACCACCTATTGTAATTAATGAACAATCATTAGAAGAATTACCTATAGCTCCTTTACCTAGTCCTCCAAAATTAAGTGAATCCGAATTAAAAAATATTATTTGTCAAGAAGAAAATACATTAAGAGAACTTAGAATATTTTTACGAGACATTTGTGCCAAACTTGCTCGCAATAAACAGTAAGTTTTTTTTTATTAAATATTTTTTTAACTTTAAATTTCTTTTAGCTATATTTTTTAAGAAAGTTCTTTTTAGAGTTTTAATTATTAATTAAAGATAACGAAAAATACTAATTTTATAGTCAGATATGTTTACTCACTGAATACTTCCACTAATATAATATAAAAATTTAATATTCATAATCCTGTATATTTTTTTTTTTTAATTTTTAGAAATTTCTGAACATTAATTGAATTATACAAACTGATTTGTTCATAACTTTATTTGCTTTAGATTTTTCATGTTTACAAAGCCAGTTGACATAGAAGAAGTACCTGATTATTTAGATATTATCAAGGAACCTATGGACTTAGAAACTCTTATGAGTAAAATTGATAAACATAGTTACATTTGTGCCAGAGACTTTTTAGATGATATTGATCTTATTGTAAGAAATGCATTGGAATATAACCCAGATAAAAGTGCAGAAGATAAACATATTAGACATAGAGCTTGTTCTTTAAGAGATAAAGCATATGCTTTTATCAAAGCAGAAATGGACTCTGATTTTGAAGATACTTGTCGAGATATCAGAGATAAACGCAAAAAGCGTAATGCTACTGAGATTGAACAAACTTGTGTTCCTGATTTCGTACATACAATAAAAAAAGAACATCAGATGGTAGATAAAGATGGTAATTACTAATCTAAATTTACTTATTTTGTATTTTGAGTTAAGTAAAAAACATTTTATTTTATTATACATTATTTATCCCTTTATACTGTACTGTATTAAATATTATATTTTTATTTTTAAAATTTAACACCTTTCTAAACATAATCACAATAAATAAATAAATACACAATAATAAGTAATGTTAGTAATATTACTATAATAGTAAAATTATTGTTACCCAAAACACCCTATGTTTATGCATCTGGTTTTATACACTTTTATATATTAAATAAATAAAAATTTATAATTTCTTTCAGATCATAATGAAGATAATAACAGTAGGAAGAAAAAACGTCGTAATATGTGGCAAAAAGGTTTAACCCCTAAAAAGAAAAAATACTCTAAACATTTCAAGGTATATCATTTTTATTAATTTAATTAAACTTATTTTTGGTATTTTGTAAATATTCTGTTACTTAATCACATTTTAATGTTTTACTTCAATTGATTCAGGATCATGATGACAATACAGTTAATGAGAATACTAGTAATCACACAGTTAATGGAATTGAAAGTCGTAAGTGTTAAATAATTAATATGTATATTCCTTTAATATTTCCCTGTATACAAGATTACTCAATTTATAAGTGTAATTATATATACATTAGTGTTTTTTTATTTATCTTTTACTAAGCAGTTAAGTATATATATATATTACATATTATGTAAATGCATTTTTAGTTAACGGAGCTGATGAAAGTAGTAATGATAGCAATCATTCTTTGGTGTGGGTAGACCGGTCAACTTCACCCAGTCCTACTCCTAATGAAAGTAACCAATTAGGTTAGTAATATTTTTAATAAAAGTTAAAACACATCATTTTAGTTCTTAAGTTAATAATTTTTTGTTGAAAACTTATTTTGTTATGAATTATAATTATTATACAATTTTTTTTAATTAAACATCATTTATGTATAGAGTTATCATTACCAGTCGTTACCAAACAAGAACTTAAAATTGATAAAAACCTATTTAGTGCATTCATATGTAAAGATATTATGACATTTTGGGAAGAAATAGACAATTATAATATTGATGATGGAATTATTGATTTGTTTTCATTACTCGATAATAAAATTAGTCAATATTTACAAATATGGGATCGATCCACCCTAGTTACGGTATTAGTTTGAACTTGTTATATTATTTCTTATGTTTAAAAATAAAATAAAGAATTATATTTTAAAAATCTACAATAATATAGTATTATATAAATATTAACTTATTTATAAAAAACATTTTATATCTAGGCTTTTAAGTGCTAAGTTCATTAATTATTTATCAGATTAAATTTTGCTTTATTCTGTAATAAATCATTTGGATTTTTTTTATAGGAGTTAAAGGCAGAATTTGAAGAATTTAAACTTCAATACATTAAAGATCTTGAAGAAAAGAATTCATAAATATATTTTACATCTTTCTGTACCAAACTGCCAAAGACATTTTTAGTTGAACATCTTATTACATGGTAAATTATGGTAAATAAGTATATATTTGAACTGTATTAATTTTTTGTTGGTCCTGAATCAGTTTTATACTGCCATTTTATTTTTAATTTATCTGATTATTATTATTTTTATTTTTTTTATTGAAATATTAAATTTCATGTTTCCATAAATATAAGCTTGTAACTAAAATGTTGTTGTAATCTTAGATATGTTGTAATTTTTAATAAACTAACTGTGAATTTAGCTTATTATTATTTTTTTAAACTATACTCTAAACTTTATTAAAAATTGATTTTCTTTCATATAAATTTATGAAATAAAGAAAGAAAGTAAAATGAAATTTTGGAACTACCCAATAGCTTATGGATCTTAGTCAAAATATTTTTTTTTTTTTTAATTAGAGTATAGCCTCTGTAATATACTAAGTTACGAGTATAATACATCATTAATCATATGTAATTAATAAGTGTGCTAAATTTTGATTAAAGAATATTTTTGAAATATATTAATTAACTTAGTGATTGTAATTTAATTTTCTATTAGTATTGCAATAGGTTGCCATTACTTACAGTTTATATAATGTGTTAGGTATTGTTTTTAATGTTAATACTCTATAACTAAGTATTACCATAAATTAGGTCTTGGATAATGATAAATATTAATAACTTAATTTGAATATCTTATTTTTTACAATAAATTCTTATAAAAAAAGAAACTAATAAAATTTATGCATGTACTATAATAAACATTAGACACTACACAATACTACAGATTATCTCATATTTCAATGATAATAATTAATATAGTGGCATGGTGCTATAGGCTAAAATGCCTCTCTGTTTTCCTATTCACCTATTTTTCTTTGTTTTACCCATAATTTCAAATAACTCCAAGGAAATATTCTCAAAGTACCAAATTGGTAGCCTTAAAACTATGTCTTGAATGTTTCTAGAAGGGAAAGTCTAAAGACAACGCCATACAACACAAACATTTATATTGTAAGTTGTAAAAAATACATGGACAAGATTAAATGCCTTATTAAAATGTTAATTTGGTTAAACATGTTAAAACTTCCAAATCAGAAATCACGATTTACAGTTTTTATTATAAACTCGATGCTTCAACGATTGTAGACAATAAACACGGTCTGAGCTATCGCCAAAGGTAGCATGAATAGAAGTGATTAGTGAGAATTCTGAATTAAGTAGAATTTATTCACAGATTACGTACAAATAGTAAAAATACTATTTTTATGCATCTGAAAGTTTATTGGTTTCTATAGACCACTCTATATAGTATCTAAGGATAAGGAATAAGGATACGTTTATAATATATATTTAGTAGTGGTTTTGTATATCGAACTAAATCAATATGACCACATACTACGAAATAAATAATTAATATTATTATCTTAAATGTCGTCTGTACGGTTCAATCATTATCATCATCTGCAGTGCCCTGCATATAAGCACAGAGCAATGCATAAGTCATCGGTCTTTGGAACTATTTGGCCCTACTGTTTATCGAGGTATACACTAGTTTTTATCAATGTTACCAGCCTGCTACCATATATTTATCATAATATCATATGTATTCGGAGATAATAGATCGCAAAATCAAGTAAGGTCAGCCCTAGTTTTCAACCTTTTTTTTTTTCGGCAACAGTGGTGAATTAAAGATTTTCACTTCATTGTTTCATACCTAGTATTATTATTACAATTCATTAACCATGTTCCGTAACATTTCTACTGCGGTGAAAGGATGTACCGAAGTCGTGGCCACCACATCCACCAAGGTGCCGTGCGCAGGTAAATCGTCTAAACAAACCGTGCCGTCTAAGCCAATCTACCTGACCAACTTCACCATGCAAAGTAATCTGTTGTCCAAGAAAGCATTAACTGCAGTTACCGCGACCCAAATTCGTTTGGTCCACACCGATTTCAAGATCCCAGATTATAGCGATTACCGTCGTAACTCTGTGAAGGATCCGAGTGCTTCTAATCGCGACACCTATGAAAGTAGAAATGCCTTTACTTACATGGTTTTGGGTACTGCCGTTACTGGCACAATGTTTTGCGCTAAGGCAATCGTTCACAAGTTTGTCTTATCAATGGCGCCAGCTGCTGATGTCTTGGCCATGGCTTCCATAGAAGTTAACCTTAATGATATACCAGAGGGCAAGAATGCAACCATCAAATGGAGAGGAAAACCATTGTTCGTTAGACATCGTACACCCACAGAAATTGAAGCAGAGCAAAAAACTACTCTGGCTGAACTCAGAGACCCGGAAGACGATTCTGTCAGAGTTCAAAAACCTGAATGGTTGGTAATCGTTGGAGTATGCACTCATTTAGGTTGTGTACCAATTGCCAATGCAGGAGATTGGGGTGGTTATTACTGCCCGTGTCACGGTTCACATTATGATGCAGCTGGTAGAATTCGTAAAGGACCTGCACCAACAAATATGGAAGTACCACCTTATAAATTCATTAACGATAATACACTTCTTGTAGGTTAACGTGTATATTCAAGTTTTTGTCTTTAGATGTTGTACGTTGTTAACATTTTTTTAAATATATGTAATCCTGCTATCTGAAATTTTCTTTTGAATTTAAAGTTTGAACATGCAATCTTAAATTTATGTTCAATAGTATATAATTTATGATAAACATTTCATGTAATTTCAAAGACCTAGCTAAATATTACTCTAAAGAAAATATTGTATAATTTATCAACAAACTAAAATATAAATAAAAAAATTATCAACACTGAAATTGTAAATATTTGTTCTAAAACATAATTTCACAATAATAAAAGTCACTCTTCTGTATTGAATTGTTATTCAATCGTAAACATACATTATTAGGTATTGAATAAGTAACTGTAATCATTGTACCTAATGGATATGTTATTTTTTAATTCAATGATAAATCATAACATGAAAAACAATATTCTGAACAGACAGTCTTTTAGGCCCTTAGTAGTATTTTATTATAAATATCTTTATTTTATGATGTATTTTTTTATATTGATATTATAACTATTTATTTTACTATTTTTAATATACTAATACAGTAGATGAATTAATTTTTGCCAAAAATATTAAATTTATTACACATTATTAATATTTAATTATTATAATTTATAATATTATATATTTATAAAATTTATAATTATTCTAATTAACTTTTTAGTCAATACCGCCTTATCATAAACAGTGTAAATCAACTCTAAATGAAAATTTCCAATAGCATAAAATTAATTTAAATATTTTGCAAAAGATATTATACATATAATATATAATAATGCGTGTAAAATTATTAAAACTTCAACAAAAATATTTTTAAATTAAGTACTTACAACAAATTAATTAAAATCATTTTTTATTTAAATATTTAATTTCAAGAACATTTCAATAATTTTTAATTACAAAATAATTTGCACGTTTTTATAATTTTATCAAAATATGAACTTTAAATGCATTTAAAAATATTAAACATGTATCTTTAATATTTTTAATTAGTTATTATAACAACTTATAATTTATAAGTAACCTTGAATTTAATTTTTAAGATTTTTGACCAAGCAAATAATTTTTATCAATGCATAGATATATAAAGAAAAAAAATCAAAATGTCTAATATCTATAAATAGCCAAAATTATTTCATGTTTAAAAAATGCTAATAAAAACTTTAGGTGCTAAGTATTTATTATCATTCATCTATATCTTTAACTTTTAAATACAACGCAATTATAGATACTTTAAATATTCACCAAATTTTTATGCTAGTATTCCTATATTTATTTCCTAGTATAATTTTTAAATTCGTAAAGCTGTTTTTGAATTATTTATAAACATTTAAAGTTATTATTTATTTATATTTTATTTTTTTTTTATACGTGTCAATACAAATTTTTTTGGATTTGTCCAAACCTTAAAAATTTAATATCAGTTTTTTTGTATATAAATTCTTCATGTGCCAATTAAAAATTATCAAAAATACATAGGTCATAATGAATTTATTTTCAATGAGCGTTTAAAATTAGAAATTTGACAAATTAAATGAAAATCTCTAAAATTTGGAAATTATTTTGCAGTTAAAAATTCCTAGTATTAATTAATATTCATATCTTAGGTTTAACAATGTAGTACAAATTACAATGTTTCTCAAAAATGTCTATGATAATATCACACACTACTTTGTTATACGAATACACTATGACTATACATAATACATAATAAAGACCATAAACTTACAGGTAATTTTAGATTTGATTTAATTTAATTAAAATTTTTTTTAGTTTAAGTCTCGTATTGGGTTATTTATTTTATTCTAATAAGAATTATAAATATATATTATTATTAGATTCTGAGCGGAGCGATTGGTTTTACTTTATTTTGCATGTGTTCACTTTTTATATCACAAAAAAAAAAAACTTTAATCTTCAACTTTGTAGGTAATTCATAATAACAAGTTGAATCTATTTATTATTTAGTTGATTATGTTCAAAAGTAATAAATGCCCAGTACTTTTTTAAAAAAAATTGAAAAAAAAACAAATGAATGGAAATTACATAAAATAGTAAAAATCTATGTAAGCTTCCATTAATCAGACCTAAAAAATCATTTCAAAATGTTTTTTTTATTTATACAGTTAAGTAAGAATTTGAATTTAAAATTTTATAAAGACAAAAAATTGTTAATTATTTTCTACTTAAAATGGAAAACCTTTTTAAGTGTTACATTAAATGTTTAAAATTTTAATGCAAGATTCCTTACAAGTTTTTCTTACCAAAATTAAAAAAAAAAAATGTTAAATATAGATAGTCACTTTATATTTTAAGATCTATAAATCATAACCATGCAAAAAAATTACGAATTTAATTCGTGGTTTTTAATATTTTGTTCACAAATTTTTGTGTAAATTTCTAGTTCCTGAGTTATCTCAGGCTAATGCAGTGATGCGTTAATAATTGCATATTAAGTATAAATGAGGTATGCTGGTTATTATGAGCGGAATATTATAGTGCCGATGAGGAGTTAAAAAGTGGGAAAAATGCATATAGGTAACAGAGAAGACTGTACACTAATGTAGGTTCACAATAATACTACCATATATAGAACTTATAAAGTTATAATTCACTAGTCTAAGACGATTGTGAGTGCATATCAATAATATTTACCGTAGAATAGACATACAAC